TGGACATATTTTGAATGGTATGTGCGATTCTCTTTTTGATGTGTATCAAAATGTTGAATACGCTAAAATGTTGGGGAGTCTCTAGAATCCAAATATATGACCGAGGATACTTCAAGCAAGACATTTCTCATTAGTAACTTCAATAGTTACAAAATGGTGGATTCTCATCCGGTCATGGAACAATTTCATGAGATTCAACGCTTTTATGATCAACTTTTGATTCATAACATGCATGTCAACGAAACCTTTGCGGTTGGTTCTATAATCGACAAATTACCACCATCATGGAAGGAAGTGAAATATAGTCTCAAATGCAAAAAGGAGGATTTGTCAATGGAGCAACTTGGTCGCCGACTTCAAATTGAAGAAGGCATTAAGTTGCGTGAAGGTGACAATGGTAAAAAGAACGACCTTCTAATTTTCTTTATAAATGTTATGGAGGAGGGACAATCAAGTCGGACTAAGAAATATAAAAAAAATGTTTCACAAATTTCACCAAAGGTTCCAAGTTTCAAAAGAAATATAAAGACAAAAAGGTAGCTCTCTTGTTGGGAATGTCGAGGTCCACATTTCAAGAGGGATTGCCCGAAGGTTTGATGAGGTGGTGCTGAAAAATGGTTTTAGAATAAACCAATTAGATAAGTGCGTATACAAAAGCTTTTAGTGAGCAATGCAATGGTGTCATTATTCATTTATTTGTCTATATGTGAATGACATGCTCATATTTGGCATCGATTTGAGGCAAGTTAAAGAGACAAAAGCTTTCCTATGTTCAAACTTCTTCATCAAAGATATGAGTGAATCGGAAGTTATCCTTGGAATTAGGATAATTAAGCAAGGTGATACTATCACCTTAACATATTCTCACGATATAGAGAAAATGTTGAAAATATTTGGGAGTTTGGATTGCTCATCGGTCTCCACTCCTATCGATCCTAGCTGTAAATTAGTTCCAAATAGTGAGAATGTTGTATCACAGCTCGAATATGCTAGGGTAATTGGGTGTCTGATGTATGTAATGACTAGCACCCAACCAGATATTGCATTTACGGTAGACAAGCTAAGTAGATATACTGGTAACCCTGATATATTTCATTGCCAAACCTTGATGCGAGTGCTGAAATATCTAAAGAAAACAATGAGTTTCGGCTTATGTTACAAGAGTGAACCCTCTATATTAGAAGGTTATATGCAAGGATGCAAGTTGGATAACTAATCAAGAGGATTATTCATCCACAAGTGGATGATTATTTCTTCTTGGAGGAGGTGTTATATCATGGGGCATCTAAGAAACAAATTAGTATCACATACTCTACCGGCCTTAGGTAAATGCTGCAGAAAAATAAATTTTTCTTATAATTTTATTAAAATGAAAGCCATAGGAAAAGTATGATTACATGTTCATTAGTGTTGATATGGAAATATCACAATAATCACTGCATATCAAAAGAGGTATTAATTGGATAATTATATTAAAATACAATTACAGTCCAGAATTTAATCCAAGAAAAAGAATACAAGATGACAATAGAAGCGTACTGTGTTGTCTTAAGCTCTATCCCAATGTAATTGTGGGCATGACTAGTGCTAAATAGCATTTGCAGATGCAAAAACAAGCATATAGAAACCTTAAGATAAACAAAATAATAATTTTTGTATAGATTTAATTAAATAAAGACTTACATTTTTTCATTTCTTCAATTTGTTTATACAACTCAAGGTCTTCACCACTTGGATCTTTATAAAAGTTCAACACCTCCGCTCTTAACCAATCATTAGTGCACACTAATGCCTCCACCATTTCAGGACTCAAACAACTTCTAAAAGGATACACAACTCTTTTCCCCAAACTAAATGCGGGCTCACTAGCAACCGTTGAACTTGAATTGCAAAGATATCCTTGGCAATAGTTGAAAGAATTGGGTACCTAGTTTTACTCCCTTTCCACCATTCCAAAAGATTGACAGATGGATTAGATCTTTTTTCAATCTCATCACTTAGGTACTTTTCAACCTCATTCGATATCTCTTGAAGTTCTTATTCTTCATTTTGTGCCTCCACATCATTGAACAACTCGTCCCAGAGGCCATCACCTCCACCACTCTCTCCATCATCCAATTGCACTTGCAGCCTTTGTCTCTCCACATTCAAGGTTTCACTCATTCCTTTGTACTCCACCCACAAAGCTACCAAATCATTTTTAAGTTTCTCAATGAAGTCTTGGACCTATGTAGGATCACCTTGAATCTTTTTAATGCTCACTTTAATCATTTTGAATTTGTTTCGAGGGTGCAAGACATTGTTAATGAAAACCAAAGGATTCATATCATGCAACACTAATGCCTCCACCATTTCAGGACTCAAACAACTTCTAAAAGGATACACAACTCTTTTCCCCAAACTAAATGCGGGCTCACTAGCAACCGTTGAACTTGAATTGCAAAGATATCCTTGGCAATAGTTGAAAGAATTGGGTACCTAGTTTTACTCCCTTTCCACCATTCCAAAAGATTGACAGATGGATTAGATCTTTTTTCAATCTCATCACTTAGGTACTTTTCAACCTCATTCGATATCTCTTGAAGTTCTTATTCTTCATTTTGTGCCTCCACATCATTGAACAACTCGTCCCAGAGGCCATCACCTCCACCACTCTCTCCATCATCCAATTGCACTTGCAGCCTTTGTCTCTCCACATTCAAGGTTTCACTCATTCCTTTGTACTCCACCCACAAAGCTACCAAATCATTTTTAAGTTTCTCAATGAAGTCTTGGACCTATGTAGGATCACCTTGAATCTTTTTAATGCTCACTTTAATCATTTTGAATTTGTTTCGAGGGTGCAAGACATTGTTAATGAAAACCAAAGGATTCATATCATTCCAACCCCCCCCCCCCCCCCAGTATTTGTCAAGTTTTAACTTCATTGCGCTAGCCACCTTGCTTAGAATTGAGTTGGACTTATCACTCACCTTTTTTCAATCTCAATTTGGAGGGCAATCATTAATTGATATATCAATTGAGAGATATGCGTTTTGTGGCACTCAACTCTAATGTAACATCATAAAACTTTTTCAAAAAGAGCACAAAAGCCCGTGCATTCTCCCAATCTAAAGCAATAGATGGTCCTACCCTTGCTTCACCCTTTTTATTCTTCTCATTAAAATAACTCACAAAGGACACAAATTTTCGGTCATCCTTTCATACACCCTTCTATATTTCAAAGCAACATCAAGCATTTTATAAGTTGCATTCCACCTTGTTTTGACATCCATTGGCACGGTTGACATATTAGAAAACTTGGCTAGCACGGCAAACTCCCTAAACTTACTCAACCTAGCCGGTGAAGAATGAAGAAACATGACCACATTCTCTATATCTTTAATCGATGACTTAAGTTCCTTCAACCCATCCTTAACAATTAAGTTAAGGATTAGACATGCACACCTCAAGTGCAAGTACTTTCCTTCACCTCAAGTGCAAGTACTTGCCTTCAAAAAGCAATGTGTTCTCACTTATTGAAAATAGAACTTAAAAATAAGTACTACCTAAGGATAAATAAAATTGAAATAGAACTTTTTCACAACATTCTTCTTGGCACGGAGGTGGTTCTGGAGGGGGACGAGCTCTACCAATATCTTCTACACAGTCCAAACGAAACCAATCAGAAATCCCTGACCAGACAAAGCTGATCAGAACACCAAAACAACTTCCCACATTGAGGGAGACAAAACAACCCGTAGTGTCAATGCCCGGGAAATATCTACCACAACACGGAACAAACACAACCAGAAAAAAGGAACAATCTAGTTGGGTCATACCCTAATCAAGAATCACCATTACCTGAACAAAGCATAGAACCTGCTTAGCACCCCTTCGTATATCAAAGCACAGACAAGCACCCCTTCACCAATTTCATTTAATGGATTTGACCATAATAATTTACACACTTTAATTCGGTATTTTGGTATATACCGTACCATACCAAAAATTAACGGTATTTCGGTATATATCAAAATACCGAAAATTTTAAAACTGCATACTGTTACCGTACTGAACAGACCCGGTATGGTATCATACCGTACCGAATTTTTCGGTGTACCGAAAAGTTCGGTAAAATCGGTATTTTTTGGTGCGGCATGGCCGGTATACCGAAATTTCGGTATATTTTCTCACGTGCAAAGGAAGAAATACAATTACTATCATGAAGGATATAAGGCCCAAATCTCCGAGCTGTGATTGGGAATACCTATGATAATTTTAGTTTTGTTTAATAATTTGTAGTGATAATTTGTTGATTCTTTAACTTTTCTTTTCTCTGTGTGTACGTGTCTTTTTTTTTTGGTATTTCTATACTATTGTTTTAGTTATTTTATCACGTATTTGCTGTTACTGCGCATCACTATAGCAAGTCAATCATGTAATACTGGTGTCTATGTGCGTGTATTTAATTATAATAAAATTTAATCATATCCTTAATTGTAATTTAACAATTTCAGCTACTTACAAACAGCTAGTTTTGCCAAACATGACTATTTAAAATAGACAACTTTTATAAAACAGCTACGATCTTTCTCATCTGCAAACTTTTCAGCTCAAAAAAGCTAACAATTACGGAAAAGTTTAAAAAAGAGCTTTTCAGCTTGACGGGCCAAACATAGCCAAAAGCTGAAAGGATGTAGAGACGCGTGATGGATTATTAGGGTAAGGGAGTTTAGTCACTTTTTTGTCTGATTGGGTTTTGGTCATAAATGTGGAAGTAATATTAATGTCATTCTTTCTTAAAATTATATGAAAATAAATACAATCACGAGCATACAAGTTATTATTATGATCACTATTTTTTGTCATCACGATAACTTAAATATAAAATCATATTTTATCCGTTAATTACATTTATGTTCATTACATATTTATCATTATTTCATTAATTATTCAATGTGTTCATAAATAACACGGCACACGCTATTAAGGTATACACTGTAACAGCACATTCCTATCTACCCACCTATTATATCCATATACAAACAATTTATGGGTTATACGGAGTATGTTTGTGTATAAAGGTGCAGAATTCTAATCTGGTCTTTCTTGATATCTTTAAGGTGAAGTCCGAAATACCCAAACTAGCAAGTTGACAGTAAGGGCCTGAGCTAGGTGATTTCTTTGCGGGGAGAATTCCAGGCTTTGAAGCACTTCAACAACTTCCAGTTCGTGCAATTTGCATGCCCAGACCCGTGTTCCTCCTTAGTAGATTAAAGCTTTGATTTTTAACCATCTCTAACCATTTTACTCACCCGTAATGCGGAAAACGCGGCGATTGTTTCCGGAGCCGGCGTCGGATCCGATCGGTGAATCTCCGGTAGCGATTTGATGGGACCTGTGTGGTTTGGAGTAGCGGCTGCGGTCTTGAAAGCTGCGCTCAATGGAGTTGAAGATTTGGTGCTGTAGTTTATGTAGTACTGTTAGTGTTTATTCAAAGCCGGACATTACGGCCAAACTTCGATTTCCAATCTCTTTTCTCCAGGTACCTTTCCCCTCTAAACCATTTTGTTGTTGGGTAAAATCTGTAATTTTGTTTTACTGATAGATTCCAAGTTAGGGTTTGGGTAGCTGGATGTGTTTTAATTTTGTTTTTGTTTACTTTCCTTCACTCGGGAAAGATTAGGAATTCCTTAGCATTTGTACACTCTGAATTATCTGAAGTTAAATAAGGAAAATGGTAATTTAAGGAATTTTTGGGTTGTAAGTATGTACTCCATCTGAGAAATCATTTCTGGTAATTCTTAATTATATGATTTGGCAACTTCCTTTTTTGGTTATACCGTTCTATTGTTTGACTTTATTTTATTTGTGGTTGTTCTGTCCGAGTGTTTTAAGATCACCTTCTAAAAATGCAAGCAATGAAAAAGTTTCCTTTCTGGACTGGAATTCCATTGAAGCAACACAATAAATACATACATCTAGTAAAATCATGTCAATGTGCTCTATCTGTTGGCTATTGTGTGGGGATAATGGTTGCTATATGTGGATGTCATTGTATTAATGTGGGTGGGATTAATATTATTGTTATAGCCTTTATAAAATTATAACAATCTGTTAACATTTATCATAAAGATAAGTATTTGTTGGGTACTCACTTTACAAGCTTCATATGCCTAAAAAATAAATGCGTCACTTTCAGTACTTGTTTGGAATTATTGAAAAAAATTAAATAAAAAGAAAACATTCTTTTTTTGTTTTTGTTTTTCATGTATTGAGTCCTATCTATCATATTTTTCTTAGGTTGTGTTGCTGTTACTCTGCTTAGAGTATGTACATGCATCAACCCACAGGCATCGGTTATTGAGAGAAGGGACGGAAAAGGAAAAAGAAGATATATTATCTCATTCTTGTATTCATGATCAGATCATTGAACAGAGAAAGCGACCCGGCCTCCGTGTGTATTCAGTTACCCCTCAGGTCTATGATGAGTCTGCTGGTTCAGAGAGCCTTCATCGTAGGGGGAGGGCACTGTTGGAAATATCAAGGAAACCGAAGGATGCTATGCAACCCATTAGAATTATTTTAAATTATGATGCTGTTGGGCACTCATCTGACAGAGACTGTCAAAATGTTGGAGATGTTGTCAAGGCAAGTGGTATATATGAGTTGGAGGAATTTGCTTTCTTAGATATCAATTGCTAAAATCATGTTGTTATATGTGTTCTCCAGCTAGGTGAGCCACCGGGGACTTCATACTCTGTTACCCCTTGTAATCCTCACGGAGATCCTCCAATTTATGGGGATTGCTGGTATAACTGTACTTTAGATGATATAGCTGGGGAGGACAAAAAGCATCGTCTTCGCAAGGTTACCTTTTCTACTTGGCTATTACAATTTACAAGTTCTCATATATCAGACATTTTAATGATTTTGATTTTTGAAGGGTCAATATGTATTTATATCTACCTCCCCAGGATTTGGTTAAATTTCAGTATGACCCTAGAGGTTTCCCAAAATTACAAATGATAATGTTCTGGTTTATCTGTTACTGACCCTCTTTACACCAAAAGATTATACTAGTATAATAAATGATCTAGCAAGAACTGTGCATCTTTGGATGGAATTGAGTGTAAATAATGTTTGTTTGGCAAAAATATGCCAGGCTCTCTATAAAAGCATATTTGGGTCAAATATTTCATCTGAAAAACAGAGTTCCTAGTAATATCATCATGTCCAAGCATACGTCCGTATTGTTTTCTGAAAATATGACATATCCAGGAGGTTATTTGTAATATTTAGAAACCTCAAGGTTCATCTGGTAATTGACCAATCCTCTGGCCCTTTGAAGTAATTAACCCTTTGTGAAAAGAAAAGAAAAACAAGAAAGAAGAAGAAAAATGTGCACGCCAATGTGCTATGATGACATCAATCTGGCACATGGTAAATGGTTTGATGGCTCTCTCATTTTTTAGTCATTTTTCCACTTATGTTTGTTCTATGAACATAGTATAAGTGACTGCTGCCTATTATAAATTTATAATGCTCTTGGGTTCTATGACTTCTATCAATTTCAATGGGTGATTTCAAGTTGTGGAAGCTAAAATATTGAGGTGACAAAATGTAGGCTCTTGGTCAAACAGCTGAGTGGTTTAAACAAGCATTAGCTGTTGAGTCCGTGAGAGGAAACTTGCGGTTGAGCGGATATTCTGCATGTGGGCAGGATGGTGGTGTTCAACTTCCTAGAGAATATGTGGAAGGTGTATTGTTAGTGCAAACTTGCAGACAATAACATTACTTTTCCTCTTCTACTATAATTCTATAAAGAAGCAGCCGATAATGTATTAATCAATTTTCATTTTCTGCAGAAGGAGTTGCTGATGCAGACCTTGTTCTTTTAGTAACTACAAGGCCTACAACAGGCAATACACTTGCTTGGGCAGTTACATGTGAACGTGATCAATGGGGCCGTGCTGTAGCTGGTATGTTTCATCAACCAACGATCGTTTTGATCAGTGTTTTATTTAAGGCCCCAGGCTAGTGGGGCTTGAGGGAGGGAACAAGCACCTAGGCCACCTAAGTGCCACCAAAAGGAGGCTAATATTTTAAATGGTTGCTTAGCTTTTTAGAAATTAAATATATAAGCATCTAAAATTCTAAATTAGTTGTAATGTATATTTCATGTTATAAACAATTAAATACTACTCCCCCCATAAAAAAGAAGTCTTATTTGAGTGAGGTACAACTTTTTTTAGTCAACTCAACCTAGCTAGAGAAGCTTTTGTGGTTATGACGGGTCACTTATGCCTCTAAAACTTATATCAAAGATTGACTTGAGCAGTAAATTAGAACCACTTGTCACTTGGCTTTATTGGAATTTCACTTATAAATTAAAGCTCAGCAATAAAATAAGACATTTTTTAGGAAAAAAAGAATCTTGAAGAAGGGTTTTGTTATTTGAAACAAAAAGCCTCAACACATGACTCTTGTTTTTGGGAACATAGGGACTAGGGAGTAGTTCATTGAAAAGGATGGTTACAATTAGAACTACATGAGGTCAAACGTGAAACAATTATGAATCATATATTCCTATTTAAAGACAGCTTGGACCACATCAGTCCAGCTAGGACTACTGAGGCACCTTCCCAGCCAGGCCCCCTTTTATAACACCGATGTTGTTACAGCTTGTTCATGTAAAGAAGTTTGCATTGTTAGAATTTGCTTACCTAAATGGATAAAAAATGTTTCCAGGGCATGTTAATGTTGCTCCACGCCACTTGACTGCTGAATCAGAAACCTTACTCTCAGCTAGTCTAGTACATGAGGTAAGTCAATATGCCCATGTGCACTTTGTGTTAAGGTTTGTCTTGCACTGCTGATGTCTAACTTTGGGTTTCTGCAGGTGATGCATGTTTTAGGATTTGACCCACATGCTTTTGCACACTTTCGTGATGAGAGGAAGAGAAGGCGTATCCAGGTGTGCGTTGGTTATTTCTTTGATTTACTACTTTTTAGATATAAAAAATCAGAATGTGTCAATGTATCATTCACTCTTTTTTCTCTTCAATGACCTCACAATCAAAGCCGTATTTTTTCTTGTCCCTTTTCTCTAAAATTTGTGTTTTTTATCAATATTTGCACTAGGGGCTGGGGATAACTTTAGTTTTGCCTTTGGTTATTGTGCTCTCCTCCTCTGTCTTATTCAGCTGAGCAAGAGTGTTTAATTCCCAGGTGACGGAGCAAGCCATGGATGACAAGCTTGGAAGACTTGTGACTAGAGTGGTGCTTCCTCGAGTGATAATGCATGCTCGCTATCACTATCAAGTAATTAATTTCGTACTCTTCCTCTACTATCATGTATACAGTACAATGCTATCTCTGCTCCAGAAAAGTCATGTTTGGTAACCTGCAACTGTCTTAAATTAGGAAGCTTACTTGTATATTTCCAACTTATTTGTTGGTTTAATTAAATCCATCATATGTAATTTGTGTGTGATTCATGTGTAACTCTTCGACATGCACATGAAAATTTTGCTTTGTCTGATAATATTCAACCCATTTTGGGACAAAAAAGGGTTTGAAACAGAACCTTTTTTAAAATTGGTTGAGTAAGGTTTGATTTTCCTCCATCAAGGCCTATTGTTCTTCCCAAGAAAGGCTAACTGAGAGTATTTGGAGATGCCTTGACCAGTTTTAAATTGCAGGCATTCTCAGCAAATTTTACGGGATTAGAGCTTGAAGATGGAGGTGGACGTGGAACATCAGGTTTATATACTTCATAGTCCTTTGTACTATATGCAGGGGCATAGCTAGGAAGGGGGCCATACTAGGCTCCAGCCCACCCCAAATTTGGATAAAACTTTGTTTTTATCTTTAAACAAATCATGTAGAACCTGTCTAAAAGAACCCTTTGTACCGATTTTATGTTATTTTTCTTTTCTGAAACAGAAGTATTTTTGGAAGTAAAATGGCTTACCTATTTCATATAGATTATTTAGTATTTCATTAGCAAATAAGTTTAGCAGTGACACTTCTTAGGTGCTTGATATGAAGTACAAAACACTCAAGCTTTGATTTGAATTGGACGAGATTGAAAAATGTATGATGTTGCAGGATCTCATTGGGAGAAAAGACTATTGATGAATGAGATAATGACTGGGTCAGTTGATACAAGATCAGTGGTTTCAAAAATGACACTTGCTCTACTTGAGGACAGTGGGTGGTATAGAGCTAATTATAGCATGGCTGATCGCCTTGAGTGGGGCCGCAACCAAGGAACAGAGTTCGTCACTTCGCCTTGCAATCAATGGAAGGGGCCCTACCATTGCAACTCTACACAGCTATCCGGATGTACTTACAACCGAGAGGCTGAAGGCTACTGTCCTATTGTTAATTACAGCAGTGATCTTCCTGAATGGGCTCGATATTTTCCACAGCCTAACAGAGGTGTGTTGTTTCTGTTCTTAGAGTTTGAGTACATGGATCATTTTTTTGGGTTTTTAAAGTTTTAAAATATATATTACATCGAGTCGCTGTTTTTTGTTGCTCCTGCAGGCGGTCAGTCATCATTAGCTGATTATTGCACCTATTATGTAGCATACTCTGATGGATCATGTACGGACACTAACAGTGCACGGGCTCCTGACCAGATGTTAGGGGAAGTGAGGGGAAGTAATTCTAGGTGAGTTTATTAATATATTGATTTAATTATGCTTGTTACTGCATCTTTTCCACGCAATTTGCGACACGATTTTCACCATGGGTCATCCGGAAACAGTCTCCCCCCCTTTAGTACAGGGGTAAGGCTACATACATCTGATCCTCCTTACCCCACCATAGGTGGGAGCCTTTGCGGCACTGGGGTAATGATGATGATGATGACTACGTCCTTTCCAAAAAAAAGGAATCATGTGAGTTATGAAGTTATGGATTCTTTTACTTGCAGGTGCATGGCTTCATCATTAGTGCGAACGGGTTTTGTACGTGGTTCTATGACCCAGGGAAATGGCTGTTATAAGCACAGATGTTTGAACAACTCCCTACAGGTATGAGATCACGTTGGAACTCAAATTTAAATTTACTTGTTAATGGAAAATGAGGAATCTAAAGATGTCTTCTGACAAGTTCACAGGTTTCTGTTGATGGCATTTGGAAAGCATGCCCTCTCGCTGGTGGACCTGTTATATTTCCCGGGTTTAATGGTAGATCTTTTTCCTGCAATAATTATTTATTGAATTGGATCTTTTGTATTGCACAACGTGTAAAGGAAATATTTTATAGACACATTTGTACCTGCTGATTTAATTTTTGTTACTAAAATATAGGTGAGCTGATCTGTCCTGCTTATCATGAGCTTTGCCAAGTACATACATTTCTCATTTCTGATCGATGTCCTGCTTCATGCAATTCCAACGGGGATTGCATTGACGGAAAATGTCATTGTTTTCTAGGATTTGAGGGACGTGATTGTAGTAAACGTGAGCTGCTTTCTGCTTTATTCATTCTACATTTCTACTTTAGTGTCTGCTTTTTTTATATTTATATTTGAGGGCCATGTTGCTTTCTGTTGACAGGTTCATGCCCCAACAATTGTAGTAAGCATGGAAAGTGTCTTAGGAATGGTGTTTGTGAGTGTGAAAATAGGTACACCGGGATTGATTGTTCCACAGGTAAATCACTTCGTTTTTATCACAAAATTGTTTGACTAAACATCACTGCAGAAAGAAAAAACACATCTGAGCCCCTTCCACTTTGGGGTCTGTCTGTTTGGTCGTGGAAACTACTAGGAAGGGAACCATAGTTATTAAAAAAAAAGAAAATGTGGCATGCAAAGAATGTTGACTGAAACTCGATATAATTTGTTATAGGTATTTGTTGTTACTCAATATATTAAATGATGGCTACTGTATAAAGATATATGTAATTTTAAATGGAAGCAATCATATTTCACTTTCCACGTTAAAAAACCTATCATAAGAAAACAATTTTTCATAGTTTTTTTCTCTCTTTTTTTGTAGCATTTTCCGGAATCCAATATACCTTTGCATTTTTTGAAACGTAACCCTCACTTGTATTAGTTAAAACTTAAAAGTAGCCAACCCTGCACTTTACAATGGCTGACTAGAAACCCTTTTCTGAGGGCGCTTTCTAACAATGTTATGTGAATCCCTACACTTTTGAAATAGTGCCCAAACTTTTGATCTATTTTTATTTAACGCCTTAAAACACACCATTGACAATTTGGAACTTGTGGTTTGTAGTCTTTGTACTATATCATCTCTGGCACATCAAAGACTCTACCACGGACACTAGGCATGTGGAAATACAGGCAAAAATATTACAAAAATTAATATTAGAAATGTTGTGAAATTTGCAGCAATATGTGATGAACAGTGCAGTCTGCATGGTGGTGTATGCGACAATGGAGTGTGTGAGTTCCGGTGCTCTGACTATGCAGGTTACACCTGCCAGAACAGCACGATGCTCCTCCCGAGCCTCTCAGTTTGCAAAGATGTTCTGAGGAAAGATGCTCTTTGGCAACACTGTGCTCCTAGTGAGTTGAGCATTTTGCAGCAGCTTGAAGAAGTTGTTGTGATGCCCAACTACCACCGACTCTTTCCAGCCGGCCCCCGTAAAATACTTAACCTCATTCGAGGCCGTGACTGTGATGGTGCTTCAAAGCGTTTAGCTTGCTGGGTTAGTTTTCCTCAACAGTTGATACATGTTTTAGTCTCTTACATTCTTACTCTCTTGGCTATGTGCTACGCTTTATGACTCAATTTGCATCTCGACTATTCAATTTGGCCTCACTTTTGTCCTCAAGAACATTGTAGTGCACTACCAGTCTCCCACTTGGTTGTGAAAAAGGAAAAGTTTAAAGAGGACCATTTAGCCTCTTTACGTATGATTAAAAATAAGTTTTCATAATTCAGCAAAATTTTGGTATTACCAAACAGGCTCTATTATAGGTATAAAGGGTATTTTGGTTTGTTGAGGACTAAATCGAGTCCAAATTACATAGTTGAGGATCAAGTGGTGTCTAAATCTGCTTGACAAAAATATTCATCTGATTTGGAAATTTGGAACCAAATATGCATAAGAAACTAATTTTGGCCTAAATAGCCCAAGGATCAAATTGAACAAAAGTGTATAGTCTAGGGATGAAACTGGATATGAACTTTGTGTCCCTTGTTTACATTAGCTAAAGGACACACTGAATCTGTCTTTTGATTTTCCAGATCTCAATCCAGAAGTGTGACAAGGACGGGGATAACAGGTTACGTGTTTGCCATTCAGCATGCCAGTCGTACAACTCAGCATGCGGAGCGTCTCTCGACTGTTCAGACCAGACGTTGTTTAGCAGTGATGGTGAGGGTGAGGGCGTATGCACGGGGTGGGATGAGTTTATGTAAATTATAGGCAGCCAAGTGTATGTCTTTTTTTTGTAATCATATTTATAATTGTAATGTTGTACTAGTGAATAGCTTTAACCAGGTTTAGGCGTGATGAGGCACGAAGTGCCCCATTGTAGAGTATACTAGCTTTGTTGTCAATTGTCATAATTAATTCCCTCTTTCTCCTCTGGGCACAAGCCCGGGGAGATTTGACATTTCATAAATGGTCTTTTTATATTGAATGAATGAATGAATATCGTATGGGAGAAAATTATACAGGAGAAATGTCTCCAAAACGGGCAAACCCTATAAAGACAAACAAAAACAGCAAATTTACTCGCTTGGTTTATTTTGTAAGATTTTTTAACTGCAAATCTGTAAGTCTGTAACTTGGGGAGTTTCCTAGAATTTCATGTAATAAAGTCTAGTTATTGTGTAAAGTTTACATTACATATGCATTTAGGTGCGCTTAAAGCGAACAACTCTTTTAATCTATTAATGTAGAAAATAAAATACATATTCTTAGAAATAGTATATGCTGCAATTACAACAATCTACCTTTTGTCCAGGCATGGAGCAGGGTCGGGCCTGAGCTGGGCCTAGGCCCAGTCGGGCCTTTTGTGATTGGGGGAAGGCCTGGGGCCGGCCCGGATTGCCAGCGGGTCCGGGCCGGGCCTCGGGCCAGTTTATATTTTTTTTTTTTGCTTTTTCTAATTAACCCCCGACCCCCCAAACCAGCCCAAATGGTCCAAAATACCTAGTCCAATCTGGAAAGTTAAAAAAAAAAGAATAAAGCCCGAACCGGGCCCAGAACCGGCCGGGCCGGTTCCATATTCTTTAGACCCATACTCGCCCCGCTATTAGGGGTGGACCGGTTCCGGTTCGGGCCCAGCCGGTTCGCGGTTCTGTTTTGTTGGGCCCGAGCCCAAACCGGTAGCCACCGGTTCTGGGTTCGGGCCACTCGGTTTGTAATTTTTTTTCGGCTTCTCCTATTTAACCCCAACCCCCCAAGCCATCCCCCTCACCCCCAAACCAACCCAAACCACCTCAAATGGCCCAAAATACCCAGCCCAACCCAAAGACTAGGCATGGCCTCGGTTCGGGCCGCCCGGCCCGGGACCGGCCTGACCCGCTACTGTGCGGGACCGGCCCGGCCCGATTATCCGGGTCCGGGTCCGGTTCGGGCCGGAGGCCCGGGGGTGGGGCGGTTCCGGGCTCGGTTCATGGTTTTGACGGCCCGTCCCGGCCGGTTCGGGCCCGGGTCCGGGCCAAATCTATTTTTTTTTTTTAATTTTTTTCATTTGTTTTGGGCTGTTGGGCTTGGGCTATCTGTTTAGGCCGGTTTGGGGGGGTTTGGGGGGGGGTGGGGGGTTTGGGGGGGGGGGTGGGGGAAGAAAGGAAAAAAAAAAATTAAACCGGGTCGCCCGACCGGTCCGGCCCGGAACCGGACCCGGAACCGGTGGCCACCGGTTCGGGCTCGGGCCCAACAAAACAGACCCGAGGCCCGGTCGGGCCTAGGCCCGAACCGGCCCGGGTCCATCCATACCAAAAACTTAAAAAAAATTCAGAAAAAAAAATTAAACTCGGCCCAGACTGGGCCCGAACCGGCCGGGCCGGTTCACCAAATGGAGGGCCCGAGCCCGGAACCAAAGCCCACCGGGCCGGGTGACCCGAACCGGGCACTAACCGGTTCACCGGGCCGGTCCGGGCCCACACAGTAGCGGGCCGGTCCGGTTCCGGGCCGGTTTGCCCGGCCCGAGTCCATCCCTATCCGCTATCCTCCCTAAACCGGGCCAGGTCCACACAGTATCGGGCTGGGTGGCCTGAACCGGGTCCATCACTACTTTTGTCAATTGATCCATCAAAGTTCTTGGTATTCATTTCATGCGAATCATTGGAATAAAACGTATGAAAAAATAATTAACGTGGTACATTGAATTATATTGGGACGGTTAACTAGTTGGACCCTATGAAGCACGAATACTTCACTAGGGTGCTGTATCGGCGTATTGGAAATGTTTCCGTATCCGATACTCTAGGATACCCGTATCGTATGCAGGGATGGATTTAGGGGGGGAAGGGGGGGGGGGGGGGGGGGGGGCGACCGCCCCCCTTGGACATTCAATTTTTTTTACCATATATGTAATATTTTCATAAAACTTTCATAATTTAATTAGATTCGCCCCCCTTAGCATTTAATTTTCAAAATTAATATATATAGTCTTACATAATGTAATACTTAATTGGAGATTTAAAAGAAGAAACATCTAAAATAATTTACATAACTTAAACAAATAAACAATAGAGTAACTCGTTATTTAAGATTTAGGATACTTATTATATAAGAATTCCTAGTTTTGTAATGTTTAATTATCTTTATTAGATAACAAGTACTGGATTTCGTAAAACATATATCAAACAATATTAAATACCAAACACACTAATTACACAATTTTTAGATCACGTGAAATGAATCCAAAATATAAATATTTATAGACATTAGATTACATAATTCATTTACTTCTTGCTTTCTAAAAATAATTTATTGCATGGATAATAAACTCTAAATTATTATAGAATTAATAAAAATATTAAAATATAATATGCACCATATATATATATGTATGTGTATGTATGTGGTGCATATCATTCTAAAAATAACAATCTCATACATACTAGTATACTACTATTGTAATATTAAGAAAACTTCTCATGAGTCATGACTCACGAACACCCTCCTTGGTGGACAAAAATTACAATTCAATAACCGATTCATGAGGTTAAACAATGTAGAAGTTATTAAAAATGTATTGGTTGATGTCTTTGTCATCGTCTAAACTTAGAATGTAATAGATTTAAATGTCGTTCGGGATGTGCATGTATTAATGTCATTTTTTGAATAAAAATAGTCGCATAGCCCTACAGTAGTGAAAAAATTTCGCCCCGCTATACTAGGGAAAAAAATTCACCCTGCTACACTAACAAAAAAAAAAAAATCACCCCCTACACTAACGAAAAATTCCGCCCCCCTTGACTCAGAATCCTGGATCCGTCCCTGATCGTACGTTCCCAGGCAGTATTTGCAAATTTTTAAAAGTTTCCATTGTTTGGTAATTATTTTAAAATTTCGGATACTCGTATCCTCACGGATACTCGTATCAACTTTTTTTTAATTCTTCCAAAATAAACTTTTTAAGAAAACACTCATAATTTACATAATAAATTCTTAAGAAACGAAAAGTTAAAAATAGTTTTTACCTTGCTTTTATGTGCTACACAACTAATGGACCTATCTCAATTCTAATTCTCCCTAGAAATTAATAGCTCCAATGGAAATATGTATTAGAACTTTAGAAATAATGTTTTCTATCTTCATTATTATAATACTTTGAGTACTTGCACTTTTAATTTCAAAACTGTAGTTGTTTGACTTATTTCTCATTTTAAATTAATTACTTATTGATTATATTTAATTATTTATATTTTGAGGTGAACTAGTGTATACGAGATAAAATATGAACTTATTTCTAAGTATCTTGAAAATGTAAAATGCTTCAATACCATGAATGAGTAGAAGTCAGAGGATAATATATGTCTATTTTTTTTCTAAAAAAAAATGAATTTTTAATATTTATAAATACACCCCTATAAATTTTAATATTTATTAATACACCCCCATAACTTTTAATATTTATAAATATGGCCCCGTATCTGTATCCTACTTTTTTTTTTGGTTTTGTCATATCCCCGTACCCGTTTCTGCGTTTCCGCGTACCAGTATCGGTGCTACAGAGGTTGTACCAAATATACATTGTGCAATTGTACTTGAGTGCAACAGTAAGTACGCATTCTGGGCTTCATAGTTTGTGAACTAATGAAAGTGTCAAAGACCTTGAAAAGTAATACTGAAAATGTGGCTTTGTCAAAAAACATCATCAAAAGAAATACAATTATTGGGTGCGACAGAGTTAGACTTTTGTTCTAGGGTACTTTTGTCCTAGGGATTTTTGTAGGCGGCACCATCGATTCATTCTCTTCTTTCAAAGAGAGCAGCGGCATTCGCAAGGAAATCGAGAGCAAGGCAAGATGGGGGACGAAAGCATTGATTCCAAGATCGAATGATAACTTTTTAAATATTACAAAAAGCTAAGTGTTAATATTGTTGACGGATGCAATTTCCAACAGTTTTTCACTCAAAATTCCAAAAATAGTCGCATTTCAGGAGCATCATCGGTTATCATCATCATTGTCCCAGTGTCGTAAAGGCTCCCACACCTTCGGAGCATACGATGTACTATTTACTTTTTGACGTGCAATTTCCTTCAGGCTTGCATATCGAAGTTATCCTCATACAGTCGTAACCCAGTAGCGGTCTAGGGTCAGTTGACAGGTTTTTGATCTTAGATAAATAATTATACGATTTTGATAAGATTATAGAACGCAGTTCATGCAGACATGCACATTGTCATTAGTAGAACACGAAAAAAAGTCGAGAGAAATCTGGAGGGAAAAGGAAGAGAGAATAATAGACATTGAGTGTAGCGTGTAGGTAACATTGAGGTAAAAGTCCATAATAGAATTAATGATTTTATGTTTACATTCGAATAAATGAAAGTTTGAATACATTTAGACCATTAAAAGTTTATATTAAATACACCTAAACTTATTATCTAACAAACATGATACAAAAACAATTTGAGTTCAAAATGTTTCATCAAAAAGAAAAAGAAAGAACTCAACATGTTTTCTTGACTAAAGAAGATTAGTCACAAGAATCCTTTTGGAACTCTGCAAAAATTGATGAATGCGCTTTCCAGATTTTGAGTGGCGGGGAATGATTTGATGATGACAAGAAAAACTGCTTCCACCATTAATAAGAATGTCCATCAGTAGTTCTTCTCCAGAATCGAAATCACTAATGAACAGAGAAAATTGAAGAAACATTTAGCAAGGTCAAAGAAAAAGAAAAATAGTGATGAGTAAGGTTAAAAGAACCTTATTGCTATTGGACTCTTGGTTAGGGTTTGATGATCCACCCGAGGTCGGACAGCGGTCTTCTGACCGGGAAATAAATTTCCAAAAATAACACTCCTGTTTCACCAACTCTTTTTGTTCAAGGAAAAAGTCTAGTTTTCAAAATCATCTTTCATTTTTGAAACAAACTCGGAAATAAGCTTTCAGGGTACAAGTGATCATTTATGATTTGCAAAAGCTAACACCTTGATTGAGTTGACTAAATATGTTGGTCAAACATGACTCTTAATCACAGAGTACGTTTTCTACTAATGTATTTCAAGACAGTAAAATACAAAATAGTCTTTCATCTAGAAATGCCATTTTAATATTT